AATACTTACAGTAGGTACTCATACTTAGGTACTTTCTCTCTTAAACTTTGACTAGAATTTATTTTAAATATATAAAACTAGTACGGAGCCCCTTAAGGGGCATAGTAGAGTAAAAAAAATAAAATTGAGTAAAAAAAATATTATGAAAAAAATAGGTATCTTGAGATACCTATTGTTTTGGAGAGGTATCTCCGAAACAGACCTGTGGAAGTAGCTAGCAGTGCTTCCGGCTAATATGCTATTTCAACAAACCATGGGCAACCAACACACGTGCGTGCAAAGGTTTATTTAAATGGTCTCGAAATAAGGACATAAAAACAGCCACACACAAGTTTTATTCAAGACTAAGGCCCTGTCCACACAAAGTCAAGCTCAGGCCTAAACGCAAAAATACTTTATCAATCCAGTGTATCGTCCATACGAGGCCGGCGTTTTGGGTGGGTGTAAACGAAAATTTTCGAAAGTAGGTCCCAGAGTGGAAAGATTTCAAAACTCCGTATATGCCGCTCCGTGGTTACTGCCTCTCCGCAATGTATCTGAGACGCTTGCGTCATCGCCCCGCCTCTTGTTAAAGCACGCATGCGCCGCACTCAGAAAATAATGACACCAACAATGTAGCTTGTTGGTTTTGTAATCCAGTGTGACCCGAAGCAACAGTTCAACCTCATCGTCCGCCCATACTAATGTAGTACCAGCTCGCCCACTCGCCATGTTGTCTGTTTACAAAATTCCGCGCATGCCCACGGAAGTTTGGGCTTGATCCCGTCATTGCGTCACAGCGCCACCAACAGGTCTGGCATAGTTTCACAGCGTTTTCAGGCGTATTGACTACATTCATATGGACGCACACATTTACTGAGCTAACTCCGAAAAAGTATGACGAAAAAGTAGCGCAGATTTGTGCTGGCGTGACATTATATTTTAGATCGAGTTTTGATGAAACAAGGAAGAGAATGTGTTTCGGGTCGCAGATTGTGACCAATCACCGCGGACCACTGGCCCCCACTTTTGTGAGAAATCTACAGGTCCGTTAGCATAGATGGCTCAGTTAGCACAACAAGCAGCGGAGCTAACCTGAAGCTTCCTTGTCTTCGTCATCGGTTACTGCTTACACAGCGAGACAGCCATCCAAAAGAAAGTCCCGTTTCTCCGCGCTTCCCGGTTCTATCGTTCTATGGTCACGCCATCCACGTGCAAATCCATATCCATGTATTATCCATATTGGGAGACGCTAGCTTCGTCCCAACAGTGGGTGTGTGTGGGCCGCAGTGGCGGCCGGCCAATAGAGGGCGCTAGGGCGCCGCCCCACCACTCACAACTTGCCATGTTACCTTGGATAAAACGTTAAAAAAAATAATAACATTAAAATATTTCGAAATGTGTGTGTTTTATTTCAGATGTGGAAGAAATACTTTATAGTTTATGCTGAGTTGGATTGATTAAGCTCATCAGCGTTGTCGGACTGAGGACGTATTTCCGCCTCAGGGCGCAAAAGATTGCGCCCTGAGCCGTCTATGGACTCTCGTTAAAAGTTGTACATGCGCAGTAGCTCCTCTTCAATGCAAGAGATAAGACGATTTGGGGGCGCAGGAGAAGTGCGCCCTGAGGGGGCGGGATCGCCCGCGACCTGTACTGTCACTGTCTTTGACGTCCGTTTACAGTGATTGACAGGTCAAGTTGTGGGAGTTTGAGACGAACGTAAAGAGACGCAAAATGGAGAACGAGAAAAAGAATAATTCAGTTAGATCACTCAAAACAATACCGTTTGAGAGAAGATCATACCAGGAGAAGGTTGAGGTTAAAGAGCTTGGACCTGATCAGCCAAATATTACCATTAGTCAGCAGTCCAGCGACAGGGGGAGACGGTACACTCGTACTTTTTCCAGGACCTGGTTCAGCGCCAAATCTTGGCTAGCAGCATGTAGCGAGGCTAATGCTTTATTTTGCTTTCCATGCCTCTTGTTTCAAACATCAGGATCTGACCCAGCATGGATCAAGACAGGTATGACTGATCTGAAGCACTTTTTAGAAAAGGCAAAGAAGCATGAGCAGACTGGTATCCACATGCAAAATGCCCTCAAATTAGCTATGTTTGGGAAGATAAATATTTCATCCCAGCTGGATGAAAGCTACAGGGTAGGGATCAGAAAGCATCCCTACCCTGCTGGTATATATCTAGTCATCATATTCATAGCCCCCCCAGTAGAAAATTCCACCAGCCGCCACTGGTGGGCCGATAGCTTCGTGGGTGCGGGGAGGGGAACAGAAAGAGAGAGGCCAGAGAGTCCGCGGCTTCAAAATCCCAAAGTCAGTTAGTGCAGCTTTAAGCCTAGTGTATACTTGCGCGGCGTGGCTTACGTTAGCGGTTGCGGTGGACCTACGTAAGCACAATTGATGTTATACTGGCGCGTTCCCCTTACGGAGTTTTGAGGAGAATGTTGTAATCCCACAACAAACCACATGAGGGCGATCACACAGGAGCGGTCCCATTTATGCTGCTACTTTGTCCTCTTCAGAACAACAATAACAAACAAAGCTGTTTGAGCTCATTACACGTGTTTCTACTGTAGGTTTATGTGATAGTTTTATGGATTCATTATTTTATAAGTCATTTCAACTGTGATGCTGTGAATAAAGACACAGTTCTTGTTGGAAACATAGTTATTATTAAATAGTTTTCAGCACAAACAGCAAAACAATAATAGTGGTAAATATCTGAGACAAACATGAACGATTTACGAGTGCAGGAGGAAAGCAACAAACGCAGCTACGATTCAAACAAGACAGGAACAGTGCAAAACAAACGACTGAACAGTTTATGTTATATATATATATGTTAGATAGTCCACAGTCTCCTGTATATCAGGCTCTGAACCCAAACTGCTTTTCCTTTGAAGCACAAAGCTCTCTGCTCCATAGTGCCTCGTCCATTGTCCCTGCTGCAGCCGCTCCGTGCTTCCCTCCAATACACACACACGGACCAATCACAGCGGAGCTTCCTTGCGGCGACCCTTACGTAGTTAGAAAATGTCGATGCTGCGCGGCAGGCAACGTAAGGGCCTTGCGGTGACCAACGCGTTGCGCAAGTGACGTCACGTCACCTCCGTAAGCTCCACGCCGCGCGACTATACACTAGGCTTTAGCTTGGGTCCTTTACCATAGACCTGTGAGCTTGAGGGTTCTGTGGAGTATCTTTGCCGTTCCTAACACTACACATTTCTGAACCAAGATCGTTCCAGGGATCTGCTGTGACCACTCCTCCAGCTTTCCTTTGCCCTTTGTCTACAACCCGTTGTCAAGTTGATTCACTATAGCCATCTGGTCGGTCTGTATCTGGAAGTCCAACAGCATCTTTGCGTGCTCATTCTCCATCACTTTTGGAGGAGTTACTCATTTAGACCTCAGGGCTCAACCCAATAAATCAATAAAGCATATTTTCCCCTGTTCTAAATGTCCTTTGATTTGATTTGTAAAGGGAATGATTGGGCTGTGACATGGAGATAGTTCCTGATTTCTGATGGACCATTCAGCAGAGAGCGCAACCTCTTCTGTGTGACTGTTTAGACACAGCTGATTGGTCATATCCTTGGACTAACAGAGGACTTTGTGGACTGGTGTCAGCAGAACCACCTCCTCATCACACAGGGAAGGAGATGGTGGTGGACTTCCACAAGCATCACTTTGCCTCAGGGAACATCCAGGGAAGGTAAAGGGGGCATTGAGAGAGTGGACTCTTACAAGTACCTGGAAGTTAATTTGAATCACAAACTGGACTGGTCTCATGATACCAGCTCTGTCTTTGACACAGTGCGGCAGGTGGGGTTCTGGACAAACTAACATCTATGCTGGACCATGGCTGTCACCCCCTGCAGGACACTCTGTATGCTCTGGAGAGCAGCTTCAGTGACAGACTGATCCATCCTCAATGTGTGGAGGAGAGGCACCGCAGGTCCTTCCTTCCTGCTGCTGTCAGACTGTAAAATGACTGAACTGACTGAACTGCTGAGCCTGGACATGTGCCACTCATCTGTTCTGCTGCTATTATGAATACATTATTACATATTCATTCATCTGTTATGATATTTCATGAGCTACCGTACAGTACCTGTTGCTATCACTACTATTGTTTGGTCATATTGTCTGCTGAGTTCAGAGTTAATTATCTTATTATTGTATTATGTTAGTATCTATTATCTTAAATAATAGATCCTATTTGATGTGCTCACAATCTGAGTCATATTTCTCGTTTTTTCCTTCTGCAATGACATTGAAATTTCCTCTCTGAGGGATGAATAAAGGTTTATCTGATCTAATATAACCCATGATCTTTGAGAGAGACATTACCTGTGAGAAAGAACTGCATCCCTCAAGGACTGCTCTCCAAAGACAAAGACTTGTTTTACAATGTTACACTGAACTTGAGCGCTATGGCTGCTGGCTGAAGAGTTCTTTCACTCCGACACTGAAACTTTCTGGACCAGTTTTCATGTAATTAGCCCATTGTTCTTGTGTGACCCCCAGTGATTCTACACTTGCTTTGTCAAATATGCACCACAGTGAAATGTGTGTTAGTGACAGCTCAAAATATGTGATGAACCTGCCCGAGCTGTGTCCTCATTTCTTCTGTATTCTTCACATCTCATAAGTAGCATTGTAGACTGTTGTGTTCCTTGTTGTTTCCAAGCAATTAAACACACACGAGTCATTGGTCTGTAGAATACTGCGTTAGCCAATATCCATAAATATCCTGCATCATCAACCTTTGACCCTCTTTCCTCTACCTCTACAAGGACAACTCGAAACGGCCAGTGGTATAAAATGAATAAAATAAATAACTTTTCTGTTGGTGAAAGTGTGCCCATAAGAAGCATTTTAGACTTTTTGTTCCTTGTTGTGGTTGACAGTTTCAGTGGTAGAATTTGATTTTTGATAACATTTGTCATGGTTTGTTAAGACTGGCCCCATGACAACAGAGAGTGAGCCAGAATAGTGCTGGCATATCACCTCTGCTGTGACAAACACATGTTCTGTTCAGAAGTGGACACGCTGTCACTTGACAACACGCTCCAGAGGACAGGCCAGCTCTTTTCAGACAGCTGACACATACAGCAACTTTACCAAGTGATGTTCTCTGCCAGCGTTGTCTTTGTTTGATTGCAGGAGGATCAGGGCTCACACTCACTGAGACGAATTTCCCCTATACAAACTTTTATCATTTGTACATCAATCCAGCAGTGAAAGATAATGCCTTTCATGGCAATCGAAACTGGTTCCAGATATGCAAATGTTACAGAAGTATTGTATTGTGCAGGTGTTTGGAGGCTACAAACAAATAATACCTGCTTTAAAATGAAACGTGGTTAATATCCACAACAGAAAAACCCGGAGGGGGAGAAAAGCCACATGTGTCAGGGGTCAGGCTGATGGTGCGAAGAGAGGGAGAGGGGCAGCGGAGGGAGAGAGGGGAGCGGTAGAACAGCGCGGTAAAGAGGCCGGCTTTTGGGAGTCATTGGTAAAGAGGTTCGCACATTAAAGCGGGTGGCCGGTTTATGCTGTTACTTACAGTGACTTTGGAAAGAGAAGCCGTGGGGATGAAACATTAAAGAAACAGCAGAAAGCGTTTTTAATGTGCGGATCCCTTTACCGCTGAAATGCTCTCCACTTCTGCCCAGGAGGGAGCCCACCAAGCCCATCACTGTGTCACTACGCGAGTAAAAATACGCAAGCCTCCTTTTTTGGGCTGGACAGTAGTCCGTATCAGGGAAATACATGCTCATTGACGGGAAGGTCTGTGGAGGTGGGTGGAGCAGCGCATTTATGATGGGGGTCGCGGGCTAAAAACGTTGGGAACCCCTGGTATAGTGCATTATATATTCTATAAAAAAATTGTCCTGCACAGCGCTTTAAAATATGCTGGCTATTACAGTTAGACACATTTGATGTTCCATTTTCTCCTCTCAGTGTTTCTCGGTCTAATAAAGACGAGAGAATTTTCTTGTTTTTTAGCCAAACCCTGACTGCACTTATCACACTGAATATTGTTATGTCTTAGAGGCACAGGCACAGTTCGACAGTTAAACCACGGAAAGTAAATCAAATTATAATACCTTATATTATGTACAGAGAAGTTTTCTTTTCCAATTTTATTCTCCAAACAAATGGAGCTCTATAGATCTGACTTCTGAGTCAGAGAAGCCAAAACTTCAAATAGACTTCAAATATCATGATTAACGTAGTAAACCTGCAGGAGAAGCACCGCCCCCACTCTGCAGAGCCACACTGATGAAGTTTTGACACGAGCCGACTCGGGACAGTCCGGGTTCAGTTCGCACTATTTCACTCTCTCATAGTGAGAAATACCGCCTTATAATGTAGATTTTGACCTCTGTTCGGGTTGTACCTGCACCACCTCTTTGCCCGCCTCTGACGTCACCGTGCTCCCAGGAGCAGTGAGCTGCACAACTGTGGAGTTTGACTCCACAGTTTGAGCTCTCGATTTCGCTCTGTCTTAGGGTCAACTAAAGACACCTCCCGCATGTTTGGTATGTGCACACTGTCACATACCATAGCACCAGGTTCTATGCTCCTCTTGTGGTGGGGTCCCTCGTTGAGCGCTTCACGCGGAGGATTCTTGATCCATTCCTCTCGAGCCTCCTCTTCCTCTTCTTTTGTTGCTGTGGCTCTGCTTATTCCCCTGTGGTCCATTCTTTTGGTCCTTTGGTCTATTCCATTTGTTTTGGATCCCTTATTTTCGCCCCCACTTGGATCCAGAACCCAGCTCGTATCGGCACCGGATTAAATGGGCTGCACGTAACTTTCTAACAGCTGCTGTGATTTTGCACTTAACGCACATGAAATCACTTTATGCAAATCTGCTTTACAGATGTTTACTCTGGGGTCATTGTGTTTGTGTAAATGTGTTATTAAAATTTATTTTTTATTTTTTTAAATAATGGTAAAGTAGCCAAATAAAACGTTTTAGTTTTAGTAAACCTTTTTAAAGTAAACCTTTTTTCTAATTTTGTCTCTGTCCCTTAGTTACTTGTGTTAGCCAAAATGGTATTTAATTTTATACACATCTCAAATCTAGTGTACGGCTGCATCACCACATAAATAATTCCTGAATGTCCTAGATTTAGTTTAAATAATTCCTGCACACTTTCTGTAAATGATACAAACTGTATTTTACTTCACAAACTGTTTGTCTCCTGAAAGGGATGCCCAAACTTTTTCATACCTCTGTCTGAGAAATACTACATAAGAACATATTGTATTTTGTGGCAGATCTATGTTACTGGAATAAGTACATGTTTAAACTAATCTAAGCCTCTTAATCCCAGTATTTTTTTCCTGCCAACAACATGAAAAAATGAATCACATCTGCATCATGATTCGAACCAGATATTCTGAACCTAACATCCACATAAATCCAAGGTCGATCACTGCTCGGTGTTTGCTGTAAAAGGTTTGATAAAGTGTGGTCAAGGTCTATGCAAAGAGTGAACAAATGTGACAAAAAACAATAATAATGTATTTATATTGCACTAACACAGTGGTGACAAAGTTGCTACTGTAGCCACAGCTGCCCTGGGGCACACTGACAGAAACAAGTATGTGCACCCATTCACACAACAGTTTGGCACTTTACAGCCGCAGCTGCCTCACGGTGGCACCTGGCGTTCCCAGAGGTCTCTCATCACAGTTCTAACCAGGCCGTGTCCTGCTTAGTTTTGGAAGTCTGACGGGATCTGCATCACCAAACAGGTGGCTTTAAACTCACATGGACATACTGGTTTCACCTTCAGTTTGATATGTTTACGATGGAAGATAGTGCTTCCTCCAAACTGCAAAGCTGCTACACACACATAGTGGATTTTTCACATGTTTAATTGAGGACGAGAGGAGATGGACATGAGACACGGACGGAACAACCTCTACATTGACTCTGTGTAATGGATCATCCTGAGTGCTTCAACAAAAAACCCTTATCATCTCACATTAACCTGTTAATTCTATTGTCATAAAAACCCACACACCATAAGTGGAAAGAGGGCACTTCCAGAGACTTTGCTAAGCAGCACGTTGAACTAAAAATAAACCCTGCCAAAGACGCACGCAAACCTTTAAATTTAGCTCAATTATTGAACATAGAGTTAGCAGCAATGTCAGAAAGTGTTACATACATCTGACAGCCCCTGTTCTGAATGTGCGACTTCAAAGCTAATATATGCGAACATCAACCTGCAAAGCTAGTCGCTAGCTTTGAGTCCATGTCTGTCTGTTGTTTTTATGTCAAAGGTGTTCTGATTTTTTTGTCTCCTAAAGTGTCACAATGTCCTTTGATGAAAGCCATTTGGAACGGAATATACTTTTGGACAAGTAGACGTTGTGGAATCGCATCTATAAATAATTAAGATCTCCAGGGAGGACCAAAATGGAGATGTGTTTGAAAAAAGCACACTATTCCACACAAGTGTTAGTTTGGCGGCAGTGTGTGAAGGCTGCAAATATTTTGTCACTCAAGTCTTTGTGCTTCTGATGCGTCTCTCTCTTAGATGTCTTTCTTCTGCTCAGATATGCAGCAAACAAGGCACAAGTTTGTTTTTGTGGGGATGACTACTTATGAGAGAATTTCCCGCCGCTTTGTAAAAAAATATGCACAGATTTTTAGTCCATGCAGCAATTACGCACTTTTGGTAATGGTGTGTTTTGGTTCCAGTTTTAATTAGGGTTAGTATCAACGGTATTCAACTGAATTTCTTATCAAACTTTGGATGTTGTTCAATTATAAATAGTAATGCAGTGAAGCGCTTTTTGGTGCAAGCAAATTTGTCAATCCTGTGTAGTCCTGTGTATTTGTCTGTCTTATTTACTCCAATACGGTGCATTCATATTCTATTGTTCTATTTCAGTTGGAGTTCAGGTGACAATACATCTCTATGGGATGTTATTTTTGAAGAAATGTTAAAAGAAAAAATGTCAAAATGTTTTCTAAGATTATTATTTGGTAGTGATTAGATTTACAAAACCACCATATTATTATGTCTGAAAGTCTTTTCTACTGCCCAACGTCAAGCATATATTTGTTGTATATTGCCTTTATGAGAAATAATTAGACCATAGTTGATATATAATGACGAAGAAGATGTGGAACTTTGTGTAGTTTTTGTTTCATGTAGATTGATCCAGGACTGACAGAGAAAATAGCTTTACACATAGACTGAGTCTGAGTCTGAGTTATCGTTACCATAGTTACTTGCAAAGAAAGTTCAGCTGCCCACCATCACAATTAACATTAGGCTCTTTGTTTGTTGTGATGTCACATGTACGTTAATGGTGGTCACAATATTTGCACAGGGAACTTTCAGATGTACGTCAAAGTATTGTACACTGCAAAAAGTAATGATAAATGTGTCTTAATTTACGCAGATTTTGACAGCCTTAAAACAAGATTTCCCAAAGTGATGCAAACAATAATCTTGTTTCTAAAAGATACAAGCCATTTTTCCCTTGGAATGAGGAAAAATGCAATAGTTCCTGAAGAGTAATTGTCTTGTCCCATTGAGTACACCAGAAAGTACTCAAATTAAAATAAAATACTTGATTCAAGCTATGATTACCTCAAATTTGATCCTTTTTTGCAGTGTAGAAATTAGGCAAAAATGTTATGTAATTTTAATAGAATAAATCCGAATGCATTGCTCAAATTGAATAAAGCACAGCAAATTCTTCTTACTGCAGTAAATTTACATTTAACGCGTACAAATGATGAATGAGTAGTCCCTTTGAATTCTTCAGGCGCTATAAGACAGACACTTTCTCAGTTCTCAGTGAAAAGAGCATTGAATGGAGAAGACGTGATAAAGCAGTATTGTTCTGTGTGACAGGATAAAAAATTGTCTCCCACTGGCCTGGTAATCCTCAGGCGGATAATTAAAAAGTGTGCACCGCAGTCGGAGAGAAAGAAAGATAGAGAAAAAATTCAAATAAATAAATAAGTGAAGAGCAAAAGAAGAGGGAAGAGGCTGGGCGCTGATCTCGAGGGGAACCATTAGAGAATGTTTTCTTGAATTGAGGTTAGGTGCATTGATCTCTGTCGAAGCAGGCACGACTGAGAGTTAACACTCCCCTGCCTGCGACGCAGACTCATTTCATACATTATTCCAATTAAATTGCTGTGGCCCGCCTGGCTACCTTTCTGGATTTGGGAGAACATTGCGATTGGCACCTGCTTGAATTAATCCCCATTCCAAAGAAGTTCAGAACAGAAAGAAGTGGAAGAAGAAAAGATGGTTATTTCAGGTGATGTTTTGTCTCCAGCCACAGAGAAGACGTGATAAATTGAGCACATTAGGAGCACGCTAATAGGTGCCCTGTTCTATACAGTGGGGCTGAATGTCGCCCAGTGATGTATTGAGCGGTGGAAGTGTGAGCAAAGCCATTGTTCTTGTTGCCGTTTGTGCAGAATGTGAAAGGAAAAGCCCATTAGAGGACATACTTTGGGGACACTTTTGGACATTTAACTGTGCACTTAAAGTGACCTCTACACTGTGTCGCACACTTTTCATTTGTCAGACAATTGTGAAGTGATAAAAAACGAAAACATTATACATGATTTTTATTTTATGCTTATGTAAAAGTATTCAACCCCCATTTCTCTGTGTGCAACCAATTTGCCTGTTGACTCTGCTTAGTGGAGCCTACTGGTGTGGGATCTAATCTCAGTGTAATTACAGCAGCACTGTGATGGCCTCAGAGGTTTGTTAAGAGAATATTGGTCACTAAACAACATCAAGATTTAAGATTCAATGCATTTGCCATTTGCAGTTAAAAAAACAGCGGTTAGGGATTAGGTTTGGATGATTTCAAAGCATTGTTGGGTTATACGAACATTCCCCAAGCTTTGAACATTGCACAGTTCAATCCATCATCCAGAAATTAAAGAAGAAGACAACAAAAAAAGGGGGCGGCACGATGGCTGAGTAGGCAGCACTCTCGCCTCTCAGCAAGAAGGTCCTGGGTTCGAATCCCGGTCGGAACAGGGTCTTTCTGAGTGGAGTTTGCATGTTCTCCCCGTGCTTGTGTAAGTTTCCTCCGGGTACTCTGGTTTTCCCTACCACTAAAAACATGCACACTAGGTTAAATCCTCCAGCTCCGGTCCTGACCAAGCCGAGGTTCCCGGTCGCTGTTACTACGGCGACCACTGTTCCTGACGTAAGCCTTAGCGGCATCAGGATGGGTCAAATGCAGAGGATGAATTGCCCTACGGGGATTAATAAAGTGCACCTTTCATGACTGCAAACCTACCAAGACACGATTATTCCACCAGGGGATAGTGTTAGAGTTGATGGAAGAAAAGTTGTTGGAGTCAGAAGAATATTTGAGGCTGAGGTGTAGGTTTCTCCTCAATCAAAACAATTTCTCTAAAAAAACATTTTCATACAATGGGTTTAAATAAAAAGATGAATGTAAAAGATCAGACCTGAATCCAGTTGAGAATCTGGGGTAAGGTTTAAAAACTGCTGTTGACAAAATACCTTCCACTTAATCTGATCGTGAGCCGGTGAAAACACTCTCTAGATATGCAGAGCAATGAAACATAGGTTTATTTAGGATTTTTGTAGATACCACAATATACAGTATTAAGTCCCAATACTTTTGCACACCACACTATTCAGTTTGTCGTAATCAAATCATGTACGGTA